TTTTTTTTTTTTTTTTGTCCTTTTTTCGATATTTTGAGTATAGTTTAAGGTATTGCTCACTACTTTTCTTTTAGAGTCCTTTTTTCGATATTTTGAGGATTTACCCATCTATTGGCACGACTAAATTCAGGGCATTGTTTTGATAGCATGTTAAATGAACACAACTCTATGAAGATTTTTACCAATCTATTAGCACGACTAAATTTATGGCATTGTTCTGATACCATCTACACTACACAACTCTCTATAATGATATGATATTGTAACTAGACTTTCATCATTCAAATATTTCCCTTTTTTTTTCCTCAAATCTTTTTATAAATTCTGTACCATTTTTGTTGCCATTTTATTTTGGCGCTTAATATGTAGTTTTTTGTAAAAAAAAAAAAAAAAAATTACCCAAGAATTATATATGATATGTCATTATTTACCTTGTAAATGTACAAAATGATAAATAATATTACGCAAGATATTATTTGCATGCACGTCTAATATAAAATTTATTGGGGTCTAAAAAATATATATATTTTACCTATTTTATTTATGGCCAAACGTTGCAAATGAATGAGTAGAATTGGAACCTTCACCTTATGATCACTACATACTATTGCTTTTAATAATATTGAAACGTAACGTATTAAAAAACTTTAGAAACTTAAATATACAAACAAATTCGAACTTTGATCTCATCATCATAATGACTACTACAAAATAAACACACTAAAACGACACTTCATCAATGATTAAATTAAAACATAAAAAAACAAAAATCAAATTATAATCTAAACATTTTATCAATTAAAACCCTAATAATCTTTTTTTTTTTCCTCTTGTATTTTCTGCTACCAAAAATACCATTAAAAAAAAAACAAAGAGAATTCAGAACACGCGGAAATTGATCACACAACAGATGACACCTTGAAATAAAAGCTATAATGACACGTGTAAACAGAGTCGAATTATACCAATACGGAAGCTTTTATTATTACAGAGCTTCAAATATCACAGTTCGTATCAGTACAAGACCATTTACTCGATGATGATGATATGAATTCACACTAAAACCATCTGGGATCTCCACACTACCACTCGGGGAAAGAACTAAAAGGCCATGAGATTTAGTGCTTGGTTTTAGGCATCTTTACAATCATCACGGTGCAGTGAGCATGGTGAGCACAGTAATCACTAACGCTGCCTAAAAAAGCCCTGCCATTGCAATCAGATCCAGTTTAATAAAGGGCTTCATTATTCTCAACTCAACAACAACCAAGCATTTGACCATATCAATGGAAACTCCCTTGTAAGAACGTTTCTTAATCCTATGTCAATTTTTGAAAAACAAACAAAGAAGACCTGAATTCTTCCCAGTTTCTAATATCTTGATTGGATCATCAATCAATCGAGTTCTGCCATGCTTTTCCTAGCTCTTAGATAATTATATTCACATTTTTTATCCAACAGATGGAAATTTGGTGGTAATAAGAGAAGTACCTCTTTATAGCTCCATAGCCACGGCTTCCAACGACCACCATACTAGCATGATGCCTTTCTACAGCCTCACAAAGAACATTCCTGGCATCTCCTTCTATCACCTCCAGCACAGCATCATGCACCTGAATATCATTATCACACATGAACAATAATCATCAATAAATAGAATGCATAAAGTTCTCAAAAGGATGCTTTCCACCAAAGCTGCTTTAGACACGAAAAAACATCCAATCCATCTTCAACATTTTATATCGTACACCAAAATTCTATGGAAAAGATTTCCACTTCCTAGTTAAAGGTATTCCTACAGACGTGTGGTTCAGTTCTTCTGTACCATCAAACCATGGAAGTCTGGAAACTGGAACTCAGCTAGGGACACGTAAATTAAAAAGCGAAACTAGCTACAAACAATGGGCCTAAGAAATAAAATAAATGAATCATATAGTCAATGAAATACTAAGTATAGTTGTACAGTTGTCCCGGATCTTTCTAGAGCAAGACATGTTTAATCATGGATAGGGAATCTTATTCTTAATCAATTTTAGTAGGTATTACTACTTTTTACTTCTATTTTATTAATTCCTTTTCTCTCTACCATTTTCCTGTAGTCCTGCAATAATAGGATGAATAATCAATATGATGATAATCTTGCTACTTCCATTCCTATTTCAATTCAAAAACACTTTTCTTAAACAAAAGTTTTTGAGGTTTATTGTCAGTGAACAAATTTCCTGTAGTCCTGCAATAATAGGATGAATAATCAATATGATGATAATCTTGCTACTTCCATTTCTATTTCAATTCAAAAACACTTTTCTTAAATAAAAGTTTTTGAGGTTTATTGTCAGTGCACAAATTTTCTTTTCGAAGGATTTTCATTTCAGTCTACTCACTTTCTTTCTGAAAAAGAAACAGATCCTAAATCATTTCGCTTAAGAAATAATCCTCCATAAGTGATTCAGGTTATAGTTAGAAAGAATCAAGAGGATTACCGATCTGGCGACGCAAACCTCCTTCGCCTTTTCGATGACTCGAGAAGCAATCCTCTTCAAATCCGAATCCACACGAGGGAAAATCTCAGCCGCTCCTTCAATCAACAGTCGATTAAAGTTAAACCTCCTCTTTATTTACGAATCCTAACGGATTAATCATCCATCAACAAGAAAGAAAGAAAAGAACTGAATCAGTTACCAGGTCCGGCGAGACTGACGGCGGAGGCAGGGGAAGGTTTGGCATGAACAACAAAGAGCTTGAACGGAGAGTTAGCTTTAGTGAATGGAACGATGATATGATCTAAGGTCCACTCCAGAGCATAAAGACTGTGCGCACTGTCGTCGATTCCGACCACCATGACTTCGTTCCCTTCAGTCGCCATTGGAATAAAGCTCCGGTAATCACCACTTCGCGTTAGAGACGGATGATTTTAATGAAAAAGAAGAGTAAAGGACGGCGCATATTTATAGCCGGACTATTTAACGTTACGTGGCAAGAAATATTGCCAGCTAAGCTGCCAGTGGGGAATGAATGCCACACGTTGCTAATTTAGTCGGAGAAAAAGTGACACGTGGATCACTTTAATTTTAACTATTAAAAATAATTCTAAACTTTTAAAAAATATATTTTTACTTTAATTTAGGACATTAACTATTAGTATTTTATTTCAAAAATACTTTTAATTTTAAAAAGTTACGTTAATATTGCGAGATCCCATATTAGTCAGAGAATATAATAAAACTAGAAACTTCAACTAAGCATACACGTTTTAAATTCGTGAGGTTGAGGACGATACATAACGGGTCAAAACAAACAATATTTGATAGCGGTATACTTGGACTATTACAAATAGTATCAGAGCGAGTCACAAGACGATATGACAGTGAGGATGCTGGGCCTCAAAAGGGTGGACTGTGAGATTCCATATCGATTGGAGAGCTGAAAATATTTCACGTTTTTTTTTTCTTTTTTTAAATGAGAACTAAAGCGAGCATGGCAAGCAAGCACTTGTGTTAAATTGCATACTGGAAAAGTGTAGAAGTATTGGGTAACGCGTGAAAAAAAATTATAATCCAAATGTCGTGTCATCCACGCGCCACTCGCTGATCCGTTCTTGAGTGATTGACGGCATACATATCTATAGACGTACGTGTAAAACACGAGTTGGGTTTGCTTTGGTTGACATTATTTGTATTATTTTCAATATTTTTTTTTCTTTTTTTGATAAGATGTATTTAGTAAATTAATGAGAAATTGTATGATCGAGACATTGCGTGGTAGAAAAAATGGGTACAACTGGTGATGCATAAAACTTTTCCTGCTATGATAGTCGGGCGTAGTAGGCCTTAGTTTACGATATCGTGAGACAGTTCAGTTCATATTGGATTGGAATAATAGTGCGAGACATCAATCATACAATATACTTCAATAAAGATGTGAAGAAAAAGCTGTCAAAATTATCAAAAAGATGTTTGATTGTTATAAATTTTGGATGGGTTACCATTTAAAAGAATTTAGAGTTATTGTATTTAAGACTTTTTATTTAATTTCGGTTACATCTACCTAATGGCTAATTATAGCCATAAGTATGAATGTTAAACTCTTGGAATGTCTTTAATAGTTTCATTTTTTAGGCTATATAAAGTCTTGTATGTTGTATTTGCGACTTGGAAAATAGAGTAAAAGGAGCATTTGTGCTTTTCTTTAACAATGACTAAGTTTATTTGCAACTCTATATAGTTTAGGTTACATGTAGAATCATTCAAGCTCGACATGATCAATCTTGCTTGTGAAGTGATTCGAATCTCAATCAAGTGTTCTTGTCGTCTTGAGATATTTGACCAACAAGAATCATTGAAGCTAGACATGATTGATCTTACTTCTGGAGTGATTCGAATCTCAAACACAGTGTTCTTGGCTTGAGATATTCGATCAACAAGGTAATCCGAATCTTATTCCCCTTATATTGATTCCCTATCGTATCAGATTTTCTATTCATCGTTCTTTTATTGTTAATTTAATAAAAATATTTCTAAATTTTGTATCTTAAAAATACATTTAAACTAAAAAAAATCAATACTGTTTTGTTTCAAAAATATCATTTAGGTTTTAATAGTGTTTCAAAATTACTTTTAAATGTTAAAAATTATCATTAACTTTTTAAAAAAATTTAAAAATATTTTCACCGATTAGTATTATATTTTAAAAATACCTTCATAAATTTTGAAAGGAGTCAAAACCTCTCTACAATTATTTAAAAAATATATATACACATTACCAGCAGTATATCGACAGCAACTTATAGATTATTTCTAAATTTTTTTAAGTTACTTTCGAAGATTTATGAGTATTTTTTAAAAGAATGAAAATCAAAACTTTAAAACTTTCCAACAGTCATAAAACTAAAAAATAATTTAATAACTTTTTAAATATAAAATAAAGATTAAATAATTCATCATCCAAAAATTAAAATGGTAATTTATATAAAATAAAAAAACAAAAACTTTAAAGAGTATTATAAATGAGGTGTTGATAAGCCTATGATCCATACAAAACTTTTAAAATACACCAAACATAGGTCACATCTCAATGGCAAGAATCATAGGTTAACATTCACATATTTAAATATGACTATAGTTTATTAATTCTATAATATATTTAAGGAATGTAATAAATTTAATGATTAAATTGATAGTCAAATTCTTATGGCCCACTTTGATTAAATATGATCAATTTGACAAAAATATGATCCTAATAAAAAAATAATAGCATTTATACTCTATTTTTATATTGTCAAACCAACGCAAAATAATAATAATAATAAAATAAAATCATTTCAATGGATAATGACTTTTTTATTAAAATAATTTTTTTATTATGATTTTGCTTTACGTTTGAGTAATAATAAAAATTTAAAATTTTAAAAATTTAAATATATATAAATTATGTTTAGATATTAGCCGTTAATACAAATAGCTACAAAAGAATTATGTATATTTTGAACATAAAAGTTAATAGTTTAAGTTAATAAAATTACTCCTTTTAATATATTTTAAAAAATTTAAAATAATTTCTATCTTATTTTAAAAATATAATTATATGTTTTAAAATTTCAATATCATTGTTTAATATATTTTAAATTTTTTAAAAAATTCTAAAATATCCCACCATTTTCATTATCATATAATTAAATTATTTTATTAAAAAAAGTTGTTTTAAATTTTTTTAAATTAGCATATAATTACATTTCAAAAATACCAATAAATAAAGTAATATTAATATTTTTAATTTTTTTAAAATAAATATATTGACAACTATTTTATTAACTATTTTAAAAAAATAAATATATTGACAACCATTCTATTTTTAAATATTATTTTGAATAATTAGCTGAAATTATAAAAACAAAAAAGCTCACAAATTAAATATACTTTTTTACCACCCTTTCTATTATTCTATTATATTGTAAAATATTTATTTGTTATTTTTTTAATTTTTAATTTTTAATTTGGTCAAGTTAAGCCTTTTAAAGTAGTCCATAGTTTATCGGTTTGTCGGCGGTATTGCTTGTCTTATACGGAAGTCTGACGTCAGTTAGAGAACTTTCCAGTCATGGCTTTTTGAAAATAAATAAATAAATAAAATGAAAATAATAATCTATATATAATCTGTGTGCGTGCGCCAATTGTATATACAACTCCATTGTAAAAAAAAAAAAAAATAAATAAATAAAATCATTTTTTATATATAATTAGTGTATATAATTTAATAAATTCCTCCCAGATTTTATAAAATTATTTATAAGATTTTATTAAATATATAAAATTCTAGACTAATTCTAAATTATTTAACCTATAAAAATCAAATTTATAATTTAATTTGAATTTTTAATTTAAATTTCAAATATTCCTGTTTTAGCCTTCCGAGTAATAAATAAATTAATGATCTTGTTCTATTTTTCTATTAAAAAATAAAATATTGTGCATGTGAATCAAATTTAAGATATTTACTACGATAATAACAGTCTTATGGTAAATAATGGTGGAGCAATACTTACAAACTTAATTCAATAATTAAAATATTAATAATTTTTTACTAAATAAATGTTTAATTTCGTATCTAAAATAAATTAAGTCAACTTACTAATTATTATCTAAATTAAAATATTAAGGTACACTTTCTAATTTCTATCTTAATTTATGATTGAATTTAATTTTTATTATTTCAATTTTTTATTGTAATAATTAGATAGAATATATAAAGTAATAAACTTATTTACTAAAATCAAATTGATTATCGTTCTTACGTTAAAAAAAATATTAATTTTTAGAGATATTTTGAACTAATTTTGATTTTTTTTATTAATTAACTTATTAAAAATATTTTAAAAGTTATCCTAATTATTTTGATAAAGTTTTAATAAAATTTTAATATTAATAAATATTATTGCTTTATATAAAAAAAAAAACCCGAAAATTCTAAAAAGTTGATACTTCCAAAATTGGTATGATTTTTTTTTATTTGTCAATAAATTTATTACCAAAATTTTTTTTAAAAATATCTCATAAAAAAAGATTTTTTTTTTTTGTTTCTAAAATATATTTTAATTTCATATTGTGTTGTACTATAAAGTAACAGCCTTCAATGTTCATTTACCCTCAAGAAAACAAACGGAATCTTTATCAATGATGATGTTCAGAAACGAAAAAGATTTTGCCGAGAAAATTTATTTCATGTAAGAAATCTGAATTTTCTCAGCTTCCAAACACCTTTACCTTTTTGTTATCCAGTGTTCATTCGGCGGAGAATTTCCTTTTCAATTTGGTTACCGTCTCTCTCAGACGGTTTGAGATATTTTTTTTTACTTCCTTCTTGTAAAAGTGTCTGATTCGTTCTTTCTGTGTATTCGATTCCGGTCGATTAGTATCCATTTCGGATAGAATCAGAGGATTAACTGTTTTTTTTTTTATCTTCTCGGTGATTTTAGTGGATTTGTTGAGGGAAATTAGAACGACGCGTGTGGATTCTCGAGGAAGAAGATGAAGTTCTGCAAGAAGTATGAGGAGTATTTGCGAGGTCAGGAGAAGAAACTGAAACTACCTGGATTTCAGTTCAAGCGGCTCAAGAAGATTCTGAAGAATTGTAGCAGAGATTTTCAGTCTCGACATCGCCATGGCGATGACGTTTGCTCCGCCATCGCCGTTCAGAGGTGTCCAGATCACTGTTCAGGTATGGAAACTCGATTATCTGCTAATTTTTGTCGTTTCTTCCTCCTATTTAAGGATTTCGTGAATTTTGGGGATCTTTCTGTTACAGTCCTAGCCGTTTCATCTTTTGCTTGGTTGAGGCAAACTCTTTATTGTTTGTACACTGCATTTTGATTTTAGTTCGTTGTTTTGTTTGACGATTTGTGCGGGCGTAGTGTGCGACGGTACTTTCTTCCCCTTCCTTCTCAAGGAAATGTCTGCAATAGTTGGCTGCTTTAATCAGCGAGCACAGAAATTGCTTCAGCTGCACCTCGCTTCTGGCTTTAGAAAGCATCTTTTATGGTTCAAAGGCAAACGGGACAGTGACCATACTTTCTTAGTTCAAGAAGGGAAGGAATTGGTTAATTATGCATTGATGAACGCCATTGCAGTTAGAAAGATCTTGAAGAAATATGATAAGGTATTTGCCTAATTGCTTTACCATTTCTTGTTTGATTCACTTCAATGTTTTGTCAAGCTAATTCTTCATTTCTCTATATCAAATGAATCAATTCTTGTCCAAATTTGTAAACCACGAAAGTTTACATACTAAATTTGTAATTTAGCTTCCTTTCTTTTGCTTAGTTCTTGTTTGGGTTGCTGAGTACAGATTCATTACTCCAAACAAGGGCAAACTTTCAAGTCACAAGCTCACAGTAAGCACATTGAGATCCTGCAATCTCCATGGCTATCAGAGCTTATAGCATTCCACATTAACCTGAAGGAGACACCACATAGATCTAAGAGGATTTCTTCAGTATTCGAGGAATGTTCCCTTGCAATTACTGATGGAAAGCCATCACTTACTTGTGAGCTCTTCGATTCAATCAAACTCGACATCGACTTGGAGTGTTCCATATGTTTGGTAAGCTTTCAGGTCTTCAACTTTTACATTGTTATGAAAATGTCCCATCTACTCCAGACAAATATATGTAAATTGAATCACTGTTGTGATATCATTAGGTTACTCAGTTTTTGAGTAGTTTGAATGGATACTCATCGGAGTTCTTCACTCTTTATATATGCAGGACATAGTATTTGATCCTGTTTCTCTCACTTGCGGCCATATATTTTGCTACATGTGTGCTTGCTCGGCAGCTTCAGTAACCATAGTTGATGGACTAAAGTCTGCAAATCCAAGAGCAAAGTGCCCACTCTGCCGTCAGGTTAGTTAGGTTGCCTCTATGATTATTCAGTGAGCTTTGTTCAGCTATCATTTGGCTCGAAAAGGAAAAAAACACACAGAAACAAGATGGTATTTGTGAGATCCCACATCAGTTGGAGAGAAGAACGAAATATTCTTTAGAAGGGTGTGGAAACCTTTCCTCAGCAGACGCGTTTTAAAGACCTTGAGGGAAGAAAAACCTATAGAGGATAATATCTGCTAACGGTGGACTTGGGTCGTGGAAACCTCCCCCTAGCAGATGCGTTTTAAAAATGGGAGAAAAACCCAAAAGAAGACAATATCCGCTAGCAGTAGACTTGGGTCGTGGAAACCTCTCCCTAGCAAACGCGTTTTAAAAACAGGAGAAAAACCCAAAAGAAGATAATATCTACTAGCGGAGGGCTTGGTTGTTGCAGTTCAGAACCAACAGCTACCCTACCATACGTAGGGCTAATTTTGTTCCCATGATTTAAGCCATGAACCTCGAAATAAACCCATGGACGGTCTGTTGATTTATTACCATACGTATGGCTGATTTTGTTCCCATGATTTAGAGGATAATATTCGCTAGCGGTGGACTTGGGTCGTGGAAACCTCTCCCTAGCAAACGCGTTTTAAAAACGGGAGAAAAACCCAAAAGAAGATAATATCTACTAGCGGTGGGCTTGGTTGTTGCAGTTCAGTACCAACAGCTGCCCTACCATATGTAGGGCTAATTTTGTTCCCATGATTTAAGCCATGAACCTCGAAATAAACCCATGAACGGTCTGTTGAACGATCCGAGGTCTGATCTAATTCTTTCTATTGATACACAGGCAAAAGTTTACGAAGGTGCTGTTCATTTGGAAGAGCTCAGTATTCTATTAAGACGAAGGTCAGTAGATATCTTGTTTCTCAGGCTTCTTGGTAAAATACATGTAAAAACTGTTTAGGAAAGTACAGGTAGCTTGAAACTTACTTTTAAAATATGATTTATTAGAAGTTTAGCGTTTGAAAATTTTACTATGTTTATAACCATTGTTTTATAGACCATGAAAACGTATGAAAAAAATGGTTATTTGTTTAAAACAAACTAGAATCGGGAGAGATATGCTAAAACAAATCAGAATCGAGAGAGATATGCTAAAACAAATCAGAATTGAGAGAGATGTGCTCTTCGAAAGGTTTCCAAACCAAAATCGAGAGAGATATGCTCTTCGAAAGGTTTCCTCTATGCTGTACGAGTTTGAGTTGACTAATCGATAAATTTTTAAACTTTTAAAAGTGATTATTACATTCCAACTTTTGAACTTGGGATTTTGTTTATATGTTTGAACAGCTGCCCTGAGTACTGGGGTAAACGTCTCCGAACAGAAAGGGCAGAGAGAGTTCAGCAAGCAAAGGAGCATTGGGAATCCATGTCTCGAGCATTCATGGGAGTCTAGTTAGTACCCCTTTTACTTTTGTTAAATGTTTTCAATTTTTACTGTTTGATTCTCTTTTCCCATCAATCCGTATGAACACTGTAAATATTATTGTTCTTCATAGAATTTCACTGTAGTTTAAGCCACTTGAAAAGGTTCCCGGAAGTTGATCCCGTTTGTGGAAATTAAGGGTACCTTGAATCGACTGTTCTTCAAAAATGTATTTTGCTTCAAGTAAATTTTTTATTTAAAAAAAAAAAAAAACATTTATGACTAAAACACCAAATTTCTCACATGTAAATCAGTAAATTGATTAAAATGCAAATGTGTTTATAAGCAAAGGTGTTACATAATAAAAATTGCTACTTAATTTTGATGGAAAATTTCAAATTAGGCATCATAGGACGAAAATTAGGGGTATTACATCATACATACAAGCTAGACTAAGTCGAAGTTTAGATCATTTAAAAGAGATCAAAAAGAGGTCAAGTGACGAAAGAGAGTATCTTCTCTTTAGGTCCCGACCGTGATAGAACTAGTTTTTGATTGGAATTTCAATTGAAAAGATGTTCGACCGATTCCTTGTATGCCTAAGAATCCAATGAAATCTCAATGAAAGCCAATTCAATGTTCTTGAACTAAATTGTTACAGGCCAAAAATTTGAAGTCAAAGTCTTTGATTGGAATTTCAATCGAAAGTCAAAGTCTTTGATTTCTTGAACTACATGGTTACGGACCAAAAGTGTGAAGTCAAAGTCGTGTGTAATAGATCACATTCCAAATTTCGAAACGAAACTAATGAAGAATAACACGATTCGTAAGATGCGGTCATTCGATTGTAAATAGATTTGGATGTCAATTTCATGGATTCAAACATATCAAAAATGCATCTGGGAATTTTTATAAGATATTACATACAACCTAAAATTTTTGCAAAACAGTCAGTTTCCCCAAAATCAAAATGCTCTGTACATGCCACTTACTAAACATGGGTCCTTATGAGCATTTTCTAGAAAGGAAGAAAACTGCTGCAAGCAAGAGAATGAATGAGCCATCTTTTCAAGCCTCATATACTTGTGGTCGAACAACGTTGCTCCATTAGATTTCATGATCATAATACCATATCCGATTCATCTATTGTAACAAAACAATTTGAAAGACGATGGGGTTGTTCCATCGATAATATCTTTAACGAGTCAATATCAATGGATTCTTACCCGAACTGTGATATCGTTTGCATAGTTTCTCCAGAGTGCCAACTGAGTGCTGCATTGAGTTCAGCTTTGTATCCATGAACATCCTCTGCATGACAATTTTCAATGAGACAAGCAAATTAAGCAGCTTTAAGAGCAAGTAAAACTGAAGCTTACCTCATAATCATCTCCGTATTTCTCGATTAGCCTACCGACATGAACACGCTGAATTGTGGTCAAAGGCTTTAGAGGTCCAGATTTCCCATCTCTGCGCTTCTTTCCTAGTGCTGTTTTCAAATCTAAAGAACGCAAAGGAAAGATCACAATATCAGCACAATCTCAGCTAGACTCAGAAACGCAACGCAAAATTTTGTTCTGGCATCCTCTTTGATCCTTCATGATAATAAGACATAACAATCAAAATCAATCTTCGTTCCATTTCAGTTCCTCTCTAATCATTTCATAAATAACTATTCAGCAAAAGGTTGCATAAACATGATATATGGTAAACTAAATCCAAATCAATTTGGACGGCTAATTTGGTTCAATGAAGAGCTGCTACTTATTCCGAAATTTCCAGGTCATGAACACCAAAAAACTATCAAAGTTGCAGAAACTATTGCAAGTGATAATTCACTAAACCTGGAGCGGAAGGTATCATATTTCATAAAATCAACTAATTTCATGTAAACAAATATTTTTCGAATTTGGAAACATCACAGTATTGACGTGAGAATCATCCACTCACACCAACAGAAATTTAAAACAACAGCGAAAGAGTATAAAAAAAAAAAAAAAAAAAGCTCAAAACTCACCGTCCTCTTCCACATCGCTACCGGATGAATCAAGACCATCGGAAGGCAGCTGAGACGTTGGAACCTGGAGGGAGTCGCTCTCAACAATGTGATCAGTTCGAGAACGAACGCTGAGCAAATTAGGGTTAGAAAGAACACCAAACGACTTATAGTTATTAATAACACTGGCTTTCTCATCCCATGCCGGATCTTCTTCAAATTGTTCGCCGAGCAAGGAGCGGAGCTTCGGCGGCATGCAGAACGACGGCTTGAAAACATTAGGGTGCCTTTTCGGCAGGCCGACCTGGACCTTTGGCCGAGATCTCTTGTACTTCCTTCGAGACCTTCCCATCTCCCTCTGCAGATCGGTGAAGCCGGTGGCTAGGGTTTAGATGTAGAAGATGATTGGGGATTTCGTAGGGTTTAACTTAAATAAATTGTTTTTATTTATTTATATATTTTATATTTCTTAAATAAAAAATATTTAAAATTATAATTTTAACAAAGGATAGTTTATTGGGCTTGGGCCTGCTGAAAGCCCAATAAGAAAATCGGCCCAGGACGAGAGGAACGGATGCCGAATTGTTTCAGAAGGAGAGGGAGATTGTAGCTAGAAAGTTATAGAAGCGTCGTTCCTCTCTTTTATTTCGGCTACTCAAAGCGCCCATTTGGCTTATCCTCTGAGTTAGGGTTTCCGTTTCATCTTCCTTTCTTCCTGATTTTTCTTTAGGGTTTTTCACTTTTTCAGTATCTTCGTGTAATCTCAAGCAATGAGGTAAATTACTGCTCTCTTTTACACTCTGTCAAGCTAGATTGCACTCTGTTCTATGTCATTTTTTATCCGTGATCTTCGTTTGTGTCATTTTTACTTCTCGAACTGTACTGGATCGCTCGAAATGTATGAGATCATTGTAGCTTCGTTGTTGAGTTTATCTGTTGTACTTTGGCCATGGGGAATCGGAGTCATCTTGTAAGTTGTTGTGTTGAAATGGCTTACGAAATGATAATAGTCGTGGGAATTTTATTTTTTTTCTTCCTGTTTTGTTATTGATGTGCTTGTTGGGCTTGGATGGTTTTGGGCTGGAATATCGCGGAGGTTTAATTAGGGTTCTAAATAGTGTTCCTGCGAGTTTTGATTCTTGTGTTAACTATGTTGCCTTTGCTATTTCTTCTCGCGTTCGGCCATTTCTCCATGGATCCTAGGATTATCTGTCAAATCGCATGTATTTGGGTTGAAAAACAAGTTATTTATTGCTATCATATTCTATGCAATTGGTGGGGATGCACATTTGTTTTTAATTTATAGGTTTAATTAGGCTTGTTGTTAAGGTTGTGTTATGGTATAAGTCATTTTAGTAAATTCTTGCAGTATCTTGTTGCCTTTGCGGCTGAATTTAGTTCGAAACCAACGACTTGGCTGGTGGTTCAGTTTTTTGAGTTTGGGGGGCTTTACTTTTTGACGTGCCTTTGGAGACCGATGCAATATTTTTAATACATCTATGGTTACTGTTAACATTTGCTTAATACAATGTAGTCGTCATCCTGAGGTGAAATGGGCCCAGAGATTGGACAAGGTCTTTATCACTGTGCAACTCTCAGACTCGAAGGATTCTAAGGTTAATCTTGAGCCAGATGGAGTCTTCACTTTCTCTGGTAGCGCCGGCTCAGAGAATCACCATTACGAACTGAAGTTGGAGCTTTTTGATAAAGTTAATGTTGAAGTACGTAGACATATTACCTCTTGCTAGAGTCTGCCATAGCTTTCCGATTTAGAGTTTGCTATCGTATGATAAATTGACCTCGTAGTTTACTTGTTTCTCCTTGTAACAGGAAAGTAAAGTTAACATTGGGGTTCGGAGCATATTCTGTATCCTAGAAAAGGCAGAGAAGGGATGGTGGAAAAGGCTATTGCGAGGAGATGGAAAGCCACCCCATTATGTCAAAGTAGATTGGGACAAATGGGTGGATGAGGATGAAGACGATGGTAGTCTAGTCGTGTGCTATGTTTTTGGGTTATCACTATGTATTAAACTTCTCATCCTGTCTGTGAAGCTAATATGTGTTGATTACCTCTTTGGTTGTTCAGGAACAGCTGCTGGTCTAGGTGACTTGGATTTGGGAGGCATGGACTTTTCGGTAAGGATGTGCTATTTGAAGTGATTGCGATGATCTGTATCTCTATTATCTTGTTCTAATCATATTTTATCTTGCAGAAATTTGGTGGCATGGGCGGCATGGATGGTATGGGTGACATGGGTGACATGGGCGACGATAATGACTCCGACGATAGTGATGATGATGGTAAGCTCCCATTTTTCTTTAGCAATGAAGAGTTACTCTGTCTAAAGTCATTGACGATAGTATCTTAAGTAGTTAATAGTAAAGTTAAGAAACGGTCATACGGGCAAATGAATTCTCGTCCACAGTCTTGGGACGACATTTTCACACTTCAAACATTGACTATATGCCTTGTTCGCTATATTTGTAGAACTAGAACAGGAGATGTCGAATCCAGCGAAAAGTGAATCTGCCAAGCCCGAGGCAGAAGTCGCCAAAGAAGGTGGAGTTGGGTCCTCAGAAGGGAAAAAGGAATCTGCAGCAGCAGCTAGCACATGATTTTGCAGGGTTCAAAAATAACCAAGAAGCATTTGATGATGTTTTCATGGTTGTGGCTTGAATTTTTGAGCTTTATGATGATGTTGGCTAATTTCAGTACTCTGGAACTGCTATTTTTCAACTGCTTAAATCTTTGCAATCCAGGAAAAGTATTATTTCACTACTTCATAGATGCATTCAGATGAGTTGGAACTGAGTTATCTGTGGATTTTTTTTTTTTCTCAGTTTATGATATCTGGTAATATGGAGAGATCAATCCATGGTTGGTTTGGGTTGGGTTGGCTGTTTAAATTAGCTGGGAAATAGATCCAAGATTCTTATGAATCAAACTTCTTTGTTTCAACTTTTAACAAATTGCTTGTTGTTTTTTGATGTGATATGGGTATTGAGTTTATAGTATAGTATTAAGTTGAAGTTAAAATTAGAATAAAAGATTCTTCTCAATAACTTTTACTTTTAACCGTAAGCAATCATTACTATGTAATTAATTTTTACTATATGCCAACTCAACTCCTTGAAAACCTCTAGTTATCCAAATAAATGGGAGAAAATAAATATTTCTTTTAATCCAATAGTATATCAAAATATTACTTATAAAATAAGGTTTCGGGGAAAGATTCGAAACTTTGACCTAATAAGGAATATATATACCTAAACATACCTAAACGCTCATAGCTGTCTTTTAACTCTAAATTTATAATGGCATTGATTTGTTTTATGCATTGCAAATACAACTTCCTAATCAACATAAAAATGAAATTACATGAAAAATGAATTTCTTAAAAATCAAATTCTAGAAAAGCACAAAAAATCAAGGGGTAGATCTTCAAAGTTATTCTTATTTTAGGTGGAGAAAGAAGATTTCATTACCTAACGCTGAGAATGCAAGGAAGCATTGCTAAATTTGGCACTACGTGCTAGAATGCCTTGTTTCATTGCCTTTTAATGAGATAGTCCAGAGAAGATCGGAGTCAGATTGCACTGATACTTTCTCTCCTTTCACTATATTTGAAGTGCTAACTAGACCCCCAAACTTCATCTCTGTATCAGCTGGAATACACATTCATACCAAAATGGTTAACAGCACACGTTAGAATTCCATAAAGATATGTTCGGACTTATTTTAAGACGGCCCAAAATAACTAAAAAGACACGACAGACGTGATTTGTCGCGGTTTCAATATCATTCCCAAACGTGCCCTAATATTGTAAGCATACAACTTGAAGGAATATCATGCCAAAGTACAATCACATAGGGAGAGAATGAAGTAACGAATGACTATCTGGAAAGAAATCTTCATGAGGTTAGACATGAATTATTTCCACAGTACCTTCTCAAAACATCACAAGATAAAAGAGTTTGAAGGTGTGAGATCCCACATTGGTTGGGAATGAGAATAAAGCATCCTTTGTAAGGGTGTGGAAACCTTTCCCTAGCAGATGCATTTTATAAACCTTAAGGGAAGTGGTGGACTTAAGCCGTTACAAATGGTATCAGAGCCAGACACCGGGCGATGTGCCAGCAGAGAGGTTGAGCCCTGAAGGGGGTAGACACGAGGCGGTATGCTAATAAGGACGCTGGGTCCCAAAGGAGGTGGATTGAGGGTCCCACATTGATTGAAGAAGGGAACGATTGTCAGCGAGGACGCTGAGCCTCAAAAGAGGGTGGATTGTAAAATCCCATATCGGTTGGGGAGGACAACAAAGCATTCTTAATAAAGGCGTGAAAACCTCTCCTATGCATAGTTACAGTTGAAGTTGTTTGTTTTGGAATTCCTAAAAAAGCTTAAGAAATTGAGCATAAAGCTGCTGGCATTGACCAATTCCTTGCGAAGTTTTTTTTGAAACATGAAGTTAAGAATGAACACATAGCAAGAGGAATAAAACTGATGGATCACATTGTCAGCTCATTTTCCAACTCAAAATTGCTTAAAACCAAGCATAAACAGGATAGGATGCACATAAGAACATATAACACAACGCAGTCGTTCATTCTTTGAAAATAAACAGAGCATTGGATCAAGAAAGAGGAATGAGGACAGTACTTACTCAAATCCCATTGGAGACCAGTGGTCGTGGTGCGTCCAGAGGGCATCCCAATTGGAATGAGACCACAATGAGGGCCCTCAACAGATGAGTGAACATGGATTTCATGGTGATGAGTCCTTGGCAGAAGATGAATAAGACAATCATCAGACAGAAGGATTATGCGCGTGCTAGAGAAACGGCATAGAACATTGATGTTTCCCATCTCATGATCAAACCGTCCACCAAGAGCTCCAGCAACAAGTATGCACAGCTGAAAATCAACAACTCAAACATTATAATCCCAATCTGAAAAGTCAGAGCACAGAACAAAACGCAATAGTTGAATGTGAACATTCAAAACTTCTAGTTTAATAAACAAGCCACTTAAGATTTACATCATGATCCAACCTACATTAGACTCCTGATTTGGCATAGATTGAAGAATATATGCAACACATTTATGTAGGTCTGTGGTATCCTGATCTTCAGATTCATCAAATATCTTGGTTCCCTGCACCATGTGAATATGGATATCTTGAGCCCGCAATCCATACATGATAACAGCATAGTAAAATACATGTAATGCAAGTGAACTTTATCAAAACATAGAATGGAAAAATTACGCACAAGATGAAACCATCCATGGTATCAAATGCACAAGATGGAACCATCCATGGTATCAAACACTTGAAAAATCATTTAAAAAAGGCCCACATTCTTCGAAGGGAGGGGGTGGCTTAGTAACGTACTTGCTTAGCATAAAAATCTAGTACTTCTGTCCGAATTGAATCCATATCTCCTCTAATAACATCTGGCTTATAGCTGGCAATAGAAAAAAAAAATCAATAGATAGGAATGAATGAACAGTCCAGATCACCAAAACATAAGATATATAATTCTAAAACAGTTTATTCATTGTACAACAATGGTATAAACTATCAATAAATGCTCGAAAATGATATGAAGACATCAATAGCAACAAAATTTTCTTCTTCAGCTAGCCACTAGTATTTGTTTTGTTAGTATCAATCACATCTTGAAACTTGGGGTCAGTTTCTTTTTCTTTTTTTTGTGAAAAGAAGATTATTCTTCAGAATTGTCGAGTGATTTGTAAAAATTAAGATTACTTTGCACATAAGATCACTAACCACAAGTCCATGATAATTAAAGAAAGAAAAATTTCCAAAATAGTAAAGAAAACACTAACCGAGATAAGAAAAACGACTTTCAAAGAACATTTACTCAACCCATTTTCTTGGAGCATTGAATTGGCATCCAAAAAAAAAAAAAAAAAACCCTAAAGGTACCAAATTAAAACTAATCATCAGACTAAAATAGTATATAATTCTTCATTTTAAGATTTCAAATTCTACATTGAAAACGTTAAAAAGTTTTTAGAATATTCACAATTTGAATCAAAGAATCCCAAAACAGTTTTGAAAAAAATATAAAACATAATTCAAATCCGGTATCGAAAGAGGCCGTAATAAACCCTAAGAGTTTGTCATAACAGTCGATGGTAAATAAAACAGTGAAGTAACATCCAAGGAGAAGATTTATGTTTTCACGCATTAACCATCTAAATTTCCAGAAAACAACAAAACCCCTATGCACGAAACTCCATTACTAAATAGAGAAGCTAAATCACAACAAGAAAAAAAAAAAAAAAAAAAACTGATAATGGCATAAATGCACACTAAAAACGATAAGAAAAAGAAGAAAATCACAACGAAACGAACCTATTTCGAATATCCGTAGCGTCTTGATGAGGAAACAGCAGAGGCAATTCATCAAATACGCGATTGGCGCCTCCATCGGCACAGAGACGAAGTTTTGCTGCTCTACAACAACCCACATAAGAACGCATCAACACGAAACGCAAAAATCATCAAAACCTAGAACCAAAAGATGAAGCCAAAAGGGATTTGAAGAGTAACCGTGCTTCCAGAGCAGAGGAGTGAATTTGGGGAGGCTTTGGTTGAGCAGAACAAGGGCGTAGGTCGAAGAAGGTGGGTGGCCGGCCGGAGAAGAAGTAGAAGAAGGGAGGAGAAAATCTGAGGAGTGGAAGAAGACGCCCATGGCGAAAATGAGCGCGATTGAAAGGTTCTCCGAACGAGGATTTGATTCAATCAGAGAAATCGACTGTAATCAATTTCGTTGGTCAAAGGAGAAAAATTTCCAGAAACAGAAGTGAATATTCAAAGCAAATCGCGCTTCGATGAAATACAGCTGGGGTTTATATAACAGTTTTTCTCTTTCCCGCTTCGTGCAATTCGCACGTGCGACTTCATAGCTAATTACCGGAAATACCCCTCCTATTGTCAATATTATTAAATGCGTCATATAATGAGCCAATTGTCTCTTATGTTTATTTATTATTAATTTAATTCACTAAAATAATCCACTTTATTAATTAATATGTGCAAATAATAATGAATGAGAAGGATATTCAAATGATTGGATAACACCGACAATTGAAAAATCGTAAATGGCTCGATAACCCGTAGGTCTTCTACCTCCACGTGACATTGCTCTGTCAACTTACTGCCTCTCATGTGAGTCTGGGTCATGTCTCAATCCTAGTGCAATTGATCACCCTCTCGGACCATCGCAATGGTAAACTATTGTCTCACCAACTTGCTAATCAAACGTGAGCCCCCCTTGGACAGAATCCTCCTTTTGCTCGAGAGTTAAAAATATTTTTGGTCAATTTAACCCCAACCCGAACAAAATTACATATATATATATATATATATATATATATATATATGCATATGAGTGGATTTTTAAAAGGAATTTTAGAATTAAAAATTGTCTAGAATATAAAGTAATCCATTATTTATTATAAGAATAAATACCCTTTTAAAATTCTTCATATTCCCATTTATTAATATAATCAATTTTCTTATCTAAAGTGGCTCATAATTTTTGCAATAAAAGAATTAATAAGGTCAAATTATTCTTAGTTTGGAATTAATTCTCATTCATAATATTTCTTTTTTTTGTAAAAATAAAAAAATAAAATAATAATTAAATCACATCGCCAAGAATTGGTTTCTAATTCAAATATTTCATGGTTAACTTGGGTCATTACAAATCGTATCTAAGCCTTACACCGTGCGATGTGCCAATGATCGTGCGATGTGCCAATGATGAGGCTGTTACCCAAAAGGGGTAGATTTGGTAGGGGTCTCACATCGATTGGAGAGCCAACAAGGACGCTCAGCCCTAAAGGGTGGATTGTGATATCCCACATTAGTTAGAGAGAAGCATGAAACGCCCTTAATAAAGGTGCAGAAAACTTTCCCAAGCTATGTTAAAGGCTTGAAGGAAAACCCGCAAGGAAAAACCCAAAGAAAATAATATATGCTAGCGGTGAGCTTGATCCAAATGTGATACCAAATATCAATAATTGGGTTTATAATTCAAAGAAAAAGATTGAGGCAGAAAGGGAGAAAGGCTTTTTTGGTCAAATTAGCTAAAGAAAATTGTAAAATTCCTACAAAAGCATAGAGAAATAAATAAATGAAGGGTGAGAAAAAGAGCTATATATATGATACAATAGGGGAATGGAGGGTGGGGGCAATGGATTTCCATGCCTGATCGATCCCCGATCTTGCACTCTTTTCGAGGGGTGGAGACGGAGACGGAGACGGAGACAAACTCGGAAATCAATGAAATGAAATGGAAACTCTATACAACAAAGATACAATCACCTCACCTCACCTCTACATGAAGTAACTCAAAGACGTCTTCTTCCTCGACCCGCCTTCTCCATACAGGTCGTTCCATTGGAGGAGCTCGTTCATGTTTGTAGATTCCGATGAGACGCTCGCACACACCTGGGAATAAACACGGTCACTACGGTCATGCATCGAAGAAGACTACAATATTTCATCAAAGACCCCCTTGTGTCTCAACTGTTGAACCTTAACTAGATGACGATGGACCAGACCAAACCTAACCTAACCTAATCTCGTAAAAAAACATGTGTAAGGTGGGCTCGGCTCGGCTCGAACCCATGAGGCGTTGAAGCGAGCCTACCACACCCAGCAATAATGGGAGAAAGCAAACCAACCTGCTCATGTGCAAATCTAAAGTCCTCCATTTTTAAAGGGCGAACGTCGGTACTGCTATATAGCGCCGGTACGGGTTTGTCCTCGGTCAAAGCAGTGATCCTCTCCTGTAATTTATGAAGACAACCCATTAATATCCTCAAACATAGCATATGTCCTACGGTTTCAGCAGCCTAACCCGTCGAAAACGGTAAAAACTCGAGATCCTACAGCAATTTTAGGCAACACACGGTTTCTTAAACGAGGTGCTGACTCCTTATTTACTTCTTCGAATGACCCTTTTTTCCCTCTATGATAAGGAGCCATTACAGAGTTCGTTACCCTACAAGATTCCAGCTTCACTGGCGATACTCGGTTTTCTTAAACTAGAACGAAAATACTCGAAACTAAAAGAAGGTGCTCGAACACAACCGTTAACGATGAAACAATTGCGAAAACTACCGAGATACACATTTTAGGAAAACGGAGTAATCGCTAACCTTCTTTTCCTTGTCCAAAATTTCTCTAATGGGACAGTGAGCCGCTGTTACACAAAGATTCTGCAACCAAATAATTAGAGAAACATAAACACGGTAGGATCGACGAGGCGGTGGAAACTTGAAAAAAACATAAAACACGAAAGAAAACCTTCAAATCGCTTCCAGAATATCCATCAGTCATATTAGCAATGGCCTCTAAATCGACATCAGCAGCCAACTCTTCCTTGGCGAGTATGACTCGTAAAATCTTTTCTCTATTCGAGGCAACCGGCAAGTTAACCATCAATCTACACAGAACAATCACATATTCAGATCAGAAAAATCGACGACACGAGTATAGCAGCAGCATTACACAAATGCGATACCACCTCCGAGGAAGCCTCCTAATCACAGCCTCATCGAGATCAAACGGCCTATTGGTTGCAGCAAGAACGAGTACACGTTCTTTATCCTTTGTTCGCAACCCATCCCAATTAACCATAAATTCATTTTTCATTTTGCGCATAGCCTCGTGTTCGCCTGGATTTTCGCGTCGTCCTAACATGCTATCAACCTGCAGTAGCAGCAATATTCGTATGTTCGGAGAATTATAACTAGAACCGAATGTTAACAACGATAGCGACGATAAGGAAACTCCTATGAAGTTACCAACCTCGTCAACAAACACAACGCTCGGAGCGATTTTACTTGCTAGAGAAAACACTGCCTTTACGTATTTTTCACCCTCACCAAACCACTGTAAAAAACACAAAGATGGTACACAATATTAGAGATTATTCCTTTTACCTTTAAAAAAAGCAAAAATTTTACCTTAGAAGTAATGCTTGACATGGAAATGTTGATAAAGTTTGCACCAGCCTCAGTTGCAACAGCTTTGGCAAGCATTGTTTTTCCAGTACCAGGTGGACCAAAAAGTAAAATTCCCTTGCACGGCTGTCGAAGAGTAAAAACCGCTCGTAAACAAGCAGTACAATGAAGCAAAGAAACAAAGATATCTTTCGACTAGATTCCGAGCAACGTCTTCTATGATCAAAACTACTATGCTATGCTAACTAGTTAAACCCTGATTTACTGATAAATTGGCTCGATGGTAGGAAAAAACGTGCACCTTCGTTAACTGCCCTTTGCAAAACAACTCCGGCCTCTGTAGAGGAAGCATCACCAATTCCTTCAACGTGTCCTTCACGTTTTCTAAAGCACCGATGTCTTCGAACGTAACACCAATGTCACCAGGTGGAATAACATCCGCGAGAAGTTTCTTTTCAAATTCGTTCTCCGTAACCACATCCTAAAATTGTCGAACCACACTCCAATTTAGATTTAAGAACTCGTACCCGAAGGAAAGGGAAAGCGATATTTATTGTTCGTCAGAAGACCCATCGTTCTACGAGATTACCTTGAGCGATTTCTTCAAGCTCTTGTTCTCACTTTGAAGACCATGTAAAATGTTCAATCCGTACTCGATGCTGCAGTATTAAACACACGAAACCACTATGAACACGATAAAACGATGTATAGCTTCCTTTTTGTAGGTGAGGCCAAGAACAAAGTAGACAACCTTTCTGTAGAAATGATGAGTTTAGCATCCTTAACCAACACTTCAGAACAATGCATGAAATGATGACTCAAAGCCCAGCCGACAACTTTCTCAACGGCTGGTAAGAACAATACAAGATTCAAGAACGGTTAACTTTTAAGTAGAACCCAGTAACCATAAAAAAAACAATTACAAAAATTTTCGAAGAATACGAACTTTCGAGTGTTAGTGCTTGATCTTTAATGCAGAGAGTGTCAAGGTTCGGGCAATCCAAACCAATTCGCCCGAGAACCTGAAACAACAGTATAATGAAAAGGAAAACATTATTTTTGTAATTACTCACTTGGTTTAATTATTTCGGATTCGAGTCCCTTTTCAGTGGCTCCCTGTGATGTCCCACATGGGTTGGAGAGGAGAACAAACCACCATTTATAAGAGTGTGGAAACCTTCCCCTCGCAGACGTGTTTTAAAACCTTGAGGGGAAGCCCGAAATGGAAAGTCCAAAGAGGACAATATTTGCTAGCGGTGGATCTGGGTCGTTACAAATGGTATTAAAGCCAAACACCGGACGATGTGCCAGCCTTCTCGTTGTTCCCCGAAGGGGAGTAGACACAAGGCGGTGTGCCAGTAAGAACGTTGGGCCCCAAAGGGGGGTGGATTTAGGGGCGGTCCCACATCAATTAGAGGGAGGAAAGAGTACCAGCGTCCTCGCTGGACCCTGAAGGGGGGTGAATTGTGATGTCCCACATTGATTGGGGAGGAGAACAAACCACCATTTATAAGAGTGTGGAAACCTTCTCCTAGCAGACGCGTTTTAAAGCCTTGAGGGGAAGCCCGAAAGGAAAAGCCCAAAGAAGACAATATCTGCTAGCAGTGGATCTGGGTCGTTACACTCCCCATGGTTGGGATGTTGATTTTGTTAATTTGTAATGTTCACTGTTTCTCGTTGAATATTTAAATAATAATAATAAAACAAGGCAGATACAATACATTAAAAGCACTCACCAAGCGGATGCTGACTATATTTGCCTGTGTTTTCAGAGTTTCGGTATCACGTTCCAATTGTTTCTTCCACTCCGAAAGTAAGGCCTCATCCTAACAACATTCAAGAAAAAGTCAGTGCTGAGTTTGATAGACAGAAGCAGTGAGACAACAGAATCAGCTATAAGATCTCGATACCTGAGGAAGTAATACGGTCACT